AGGTGTATCATTAGTAAATAATCCAACTGTCTACATTTTGTTTGATATGCTTACTGGATTTGAACATGTTAGGTGATAATGCAAGCAGGGATTCAAATTGCGATCGCGTTTTCGGTCATATATCGTTTACCGCGATTGCGGCCGAGCTATTACAGGTATATCGGAAGGCAACGCTACCGTTATTTCACGGGCGCTATCGTAGTCGTGGACTGTATTTAAAACCCTGAATGCAAGTTGAAAATTAGATTCGTTATACTTGATTCTTGTTCAGATTTGGATGTGATTCATATATATAAATTACCGGTATCAGCTAGATTTGAATAAGATGATTTAAATTCCAAACTCGGAATTCGAGTTCAAAGGTTAGATTTGAATGGAATGGCTTAGAATTATTACCAAGTTTAGATACATCCAATTGGTGAATTTGATTTTGATGGTTTAAGGATCATCAAAAGACTAAATTGATCTGATGCGATTTTGGTTTTATTTGTGTCGGGACCGTCTTTCGGTTGGGTCTCGAATTGAGTTTCGACTTGAATTGATTGATTTAGAGTCGTCACCGACCATTTTAAAGTGAATTTAGGTGGGTCGGACACCATCTTACTTGATCTGCGTTGTACCAGAAACATGTAGGGTTCGGGAGTCGGTTATGGTCAAGGAAGGATTAACACCTTTGAACCGCCCTTTCAGTACCAATTAATTTGACGGTTGCCTTTAATTGCGAAAAATTAAAAATTTAAATACTCGATTCGAATTACTTACCTTTGATCGTTTGAAATTACCGTTGTAAATGCCAAAAAATATTAGATAGTAAAATAAAAATAAAAACAAAAAAGAATAAAAAGAATATATATATATATATAAACCCATTTTAATATAATAATAATACTACAAAATAGTAAAAAAAAGTAAAGATGATGGGAAATAATAAAATAATAAAAATTAATAATAATAAAAGGTTAGTAAACAAATAAATAAATGAGAATAAAAAAGGTAAAACAAAAGAAAAATTAAATTAAATTAAAACTGTGAGAAAAATAAAATAAAATAGAAAGGCAGCAAGGACTAAAATTAAAAATAAAATAAAACGAGGGACAAATTTAAAAGAAAAAAAAAACAGAATTAGAACCAAATTAATAGTTTCGATCAAATGCTTACAAAACCCGAGAGACCAAAATGGGAATTGACCCTTTACAGTTGGAAAACACGGATATGAGAGCTTAAAACGGCGTAGTTTCGTTCCCCCTATATATGCACATTTCAAAGGCCAAAATGGCCAAGCCTTCTTCATTTTGTCATCTTCCCCCCCTCTCCAAAGATGAAATCTCTCTCGCCTCTCTCTAAAGATCCCCACCGGCGGGGAACTGGCCACCCGCCGACCGCCTCTGTCGAGCGACGGCCGATAACACCCGAATCACTCAAAACACTCATCTCTACCCCGTAAACGCTATCCCGATTCCTAAATCCCCAAAAACCCCGCCAATCGACGTAGATCTAGCCCGAAAGCTTCTGTTTGTACCTTTTTCGCCGACGACCTTTTGCCTTCTTGGTTGAGACCTCGGCTTTCGGTTTTCCTTGCATATTTGCTTTGTGTTTTTGATGTGGGGCTTTGGTCTCACTGTTTTTTAGGATGGTTGGCTGTTTGTTTTTGGCTCTCTGTTGACGTTGGCTTGTCGTTGATGTTGTGTATCTCGACTGTTTTTGGGTTTTGGTTGGTCGTGTTTCGATTTGCTTTCGTTGGTGAGGTTCTGGTTTACTGTTTGGTATTATGTGTTTTTGTTGGCTCTTGTTTACTGTTGGTACTCGATGGTTATGTTCGTAATGGGTACTGTTCTAGTGGCTGGTTGGCCCCCACTCCGTGTTGGTCACCGGGGTATTTATACCCTGCTCGGTGAACCAGTACCCCGGGTTGTTCTGTTTTGCTCGGGGCGTTACTGCTGAAATCCCGGGATCCTCGGCCGACGTCCGGCCGTTTCGCGTGACCCTTGATCTCCTGACTTTGCACGGCGCTGACTGTTATCAGAAACCCTAATCTAATGTTGTTACGGGCTGGGTCAGGCCCACTCAAGACTTTTTGGACTAGACCCTGGGTAAAACGAGAAAAGAGAAAAAATAAGTAATAAAAATAAATAAATAAAATAAAAAAGAAGGTTAATAATAATAATAATAATAATAAATATAATAAAAACATTTTCTAAAACCATATAATATATATGTTTAAAAAATAATTTTCAAAACTATATAATTTATATTTTCAAAATTTGTTTTAAATACTTATATATTATATATATTTTTCAAAAACGTTTTAAAAATTATATAATATATATAAGTTTTTTAAAATGTTTTAAAAACTATATAATATATATATATGTTTTCAAAATGTTTTAAAAACTATATAATATATTTTTTCAAAATGTTTTAAAAACTATATATTATATATATATTTTCAAAATATTTTAAAAAACTATATATTATATATTTTCAAAATATTTTAAAAAACTATATATTATATATATTTTTAAAATATTTTAAAAACCATATAATATATATATGTTTTCAAAAATGTTTTAAAATCTATATATCATATAGATTTTCAAAATGTTTTCAAAATTATATAATATATACATATATAAAATAAAATAAAAATGACCAAAAATGAAAAAAAATATAAACGAAAAATGAGTGTCTACAATTTGATAATGATAAAATTATATTCGAGTGTATTTTTCTCTACATAGATTCAAGTAGTTCGTGCCTCTTATATTGAAGTAGCGATGTGGGATTGGCCTAAATGTTTCATTTCTGCTTTTCTGTTGACCAACGTGATTGCTTGCTTCATATTTTATCCACACAAAATATAGAGATGACGAGAAAAGGACTAATCTTGTAGTCCAATGAACTCATGGGGTGCTGGCCCATAAGCACAGTTTTGGCATATTATAATCGAAGTGAGAATCGTACCCAAAATAATAATAATAATCGAAGTGAGAATACTACCATGCACACAATATATAAATTGATTTGCAAGATAATTAGATTGAACTTACATAAGCTTCTATTTTTTTTATTATTTACAGAAATTAGTTTCACATAACTTTTTATTTTTTAATTCACTTTATATTGTAATTGTCAAAATTAAATTAACCCTTGAATTTTTACAGGGTCAAAATGACGCTAAAACTACTAGGTTGCTACAAAATATTGTAAATGTGACCCAAAACAGTTCAAGGGGCAATATTGACAAAATCTGTCTAGCTCAAGGGCCAATTCGACTAAAAAAATGTTCAGAGATATATGTGTTTTATGCTCTCCTTTCTTTAAAAAGAAATAGCTTCACAGATAACAATATAACCCTCGATCTGAACTAATAAAAGATAATTCATACAGGGCTGCTTGACCATTCATTATACTTCGCCTTATGTCAGCTTAGTCTAGCTTGACATTGGAGTACAAAAGTGTGTCCCTCGTCAATGGCATATTGAGCAGGAAGTAAACCTGCAGTGGTAAAAAAAGAAATGAAAAAGAGAAAATATGGACATTATCAATGCCACAGTTAAACGAAACATAATCAATGTGGTAAACCTAAACTTACGGCCACACCGAATAAATGAAGTGAACAGAACCAGTAAAACTCCTAAATCAGTAAAGACTAGAACGAAATGGATCTATATGTGGAATGAAAGAATGTTTTACGAATAGTGGAAGAAAGAAAGCATAAATCAGTACATCTGAGTTTTTCACTAGATGGAAAACCTGGGATAAACTTCCAAAGTTCGTTAAAAGGCCCATGGTTCTTTAGTTTTATGAAAATAGATTTAATATGAAGCTCCAGTGTTGCAAGAAATATGTGAAAAACGAGAAATCCGGATACAATGTAAAGGCTGGCATCAAACTAAATTAATATTAAAATAGGTCTTACCCCCAAGAGAGTTGCAATGAGAAGAACAATTCCAGTTATCCAAGCAAGGGTTCGTCTAACCAAAACTTGTGCTGCAAGGGTGGCATTAGTCGGACCTTTTGTTTCTTCCAACCAACGTGGAGATGGGCGTGAGGTTGTTATCACATTCATCAATGTTTTTTATTCTGGCTGAGATGCTTCATTAAAGACTATAACTCCAACAATTTTGCCTGCAATATCCTCGGTGTTTTCAAACAAATTGACAGCCAGGGATTAAGGGGAGAGGAATAAAGGCAAATGCGGCCAACAACTCAAGAGAAGAAAAATGTTCACTCTAAATTTTGTGAATAATATCACCATTAAAATGCATACAGATTTCCACATAAATTGGCTTGCCTAGTTTCACCTATATATATCACTGTCTGCCTTTGCATTTGTGTACATGAAGTATATAAATGGACTACAAACAAGAATAACAGTCATGTTAATCAATTAGTAAATCAAGACATTTCTCTTCCACAATATAGTGTTCGATATTTACCAACCTTCATATGCTGTCTGCAGTGAATCAAAAATCTTGGAAAGAGTGGCAAGCAGAACCCTCATTCCTTGCTTATCAGAAGCGTCAGCTTCAAGCTGTTCATGCAAGCCTTTTTTTTTTTGGTTGGGGGTGTGGGGAGATTAAGAGGATTAGCAAGTGGGTCTGAGAGGAAACAAACAATGGAAGGCAGTAGAGAATACACATTACAGTAGCATGAAATACATGACTAAATAGAACCTGAATTAACTATTCTAGCTAGAGACCTATAATTAGAGACAATCCAAGAGAGTTTTAATTGATATGAAAGCTATCAAGGAAAGTGAGCTGAAATGGACAAAAGAGACCTTCCACTCAATATGATGGTCTCCAAATATTTCAGACAAGATGTCAAATTGTCAATGTATAAAACAAAATACTACTATTACACAATGAATCTGTATGTTTAGTACCTTAATTCCATCAAAAGAACCCATTAAACTCTGCTGGGTCTATGCAAAGCCTGTTAAAAATCTTCATGCGTCTTAATTGCTTTCATTATATTGTGGAACAGTGCAAGCATTTTGCAAATTCCCTGTGCACTTTCTGCGAAAAATCAAATCAAAAGCACTCGATAAGGCAAATAAAAATTCAAGTCTGCATATGCTGCTACCACGGTACCTTGTCAGCCAAAAACAATTCATAAAAAGCAGACATATATTGGTTCCTGAATAAGACCTTTGACAAATGAAGGTTCACATTGTCACCATTTTCCAAGGGAATTGTCAATACTCCATGCAGAGATTTAGTAGCATCAGGGAAATAAGATCCACCCAACCAAGATGCCTAAACACATAAATCAATGCCAGATGTGTGAGTCAAATAAACAATCAAACAGAATATAACAAATATTAACTTATTAATCTGTGAATAATTATAAACTAACCAAGTCATTGATCTCTTCTTCAGAGTAATCTCTTAGTGGCTCGTCCAAAGAATAACAGATACTTCCTCTTCATCTAAAAGAAAATTTTACACAGTGAACAATTACCATGAATAGATACATTCAGGGGGGAAAATCTAAAACCAAGAAGTCCACTAGTTTTCATATTGATAAGGGTCAGGTACCTGGAAGCTCAATGTCCACTTTATGTGAACCAGACCAATATTCTTCAAGGCTTTGCGGAAGAGACCTTTCTTGGTGTCAACAACAAGAGGATCTGGAGAAGAAAATATTTAACCAAAACAAGGAAAAGTATGGGAGAAGAAAACAGAGTAAAAGAACATAGTCAAAAATTAAAGGCACCGTCAACTCCAATAACTTCAAGCACAAAAAGCGCGAGGTCTGTCAATGGATTAGGAATGAGAACCTCTTTCAGCTGCAAAAAGAACAAATGCATAGAATATCTTGAATCAAACGTCTAATAAAAATATGAAAACTAAAGAATTTATTACTAAAGAGTCAAGACTGATAACCTTTGATGAACCAGCAGCTGAAAGCATCACTGGTGGTGGAAAACCAAGCAAGACTGACACGGTGGCACCAACTTCAGGTAACAGCATTGGCTCTGACTGTTAAAAGACGTGAAATGTATGTTTTAATATCAACAATTCTATATTTGAAGTGTATGAACGTTCCAATATCAATAAGCCTATATGAAGTGTAAGGCAAACCAACTTCCCCTACTATACAAAGTACATCTAAGAAACACGTTAAAAGCACTTCATATTGTATAAAAATGGAAGTAAACGATAGTAACATCAAGTTATCAATACAATATTTAACATTTAACAATTCAAAACTAATAATAAGAAGAAAAACAATTTTGTTATACATGGCAGAACATCTGCACGCAATTAAGTCACTAGATTAAAACACTACAAAAGTTCAATGTTATTTTCCTTTTACATATTCTAGCCAGATAAAATTAACCATCCACAATCTCTCAATGCTTAAATCATCACTAATTTATAATCCTCGAAGCCTAATTACAATGAATGAATTGATTGAGAAAAATGAATCAATCAATAAATAACTACCTGAGAGACATCGTCGGAGGATCGAGCGCGAAGGAATTGATGAGTATAACTATCAATGAAGAAAACAGATCCAGATTCAGCCTGCAGTAACAAAAATCAGAAGAAAAAGAAAAAATCGAATCGATTAGAAGAAGTTATTGCAATCAGATATATATTATATGAAAACAAAACAAGAGAGGTAGATAGAGCAAACCCTAGTAATTGAGAAGAGAAGGGATGAAATCAGTAAAAAATTGACGATCTTCATCGTGAGAGCAATGAATGATTGGAAGAGCGAGCCCGATTTGTGTTGTGATTTGAACCGATTTAATCTGTGTGAATTGATGTACGTATTTAAGGTTAATTCCTCTGCAGGTCATTCTACTATGAGAAACCATACAATTGGATCATTATACTTTCTTTTTTTGAAAAAGGTAACACATATTTCATTTAAATGCCGATGGTAACAAGAATTACATAATTTTTAATACAGTTCGATTCATCTTAATAAAAGCAAAAACAATTGGTCTTCGATAAGGCCCATTGTGTGAGTGCGTATACCACCCTATTCTTCTCCCGGCTCACATATTGCCTTAAGGCCGTAAGATCCCTCTAACAAAGTTTGAGCCTCTAACAAAATATCATTCAATTATAAAACGTTGCTTGTTAAGTCCTTTAAGTATTACAAGTTATAAAACCATCAATAGACCATTTATATTTTCCAAAATTGTCACTAGACAATAGATACTAACATGTTGATTGAAAGAATAACATTTCCTTTTATTATCAATGTCATTTGATAAATTATCCAAATAAGCTACACATATGTACTCAAATTAAATTATACATGTCGAATTTATATAAACATGTAAGCATAATTTGTACTTCAAAACATGTCAATGAAATTAAGATGTAATTATACTTTTATGGTCGAACATGTATACTAAATTATAATTTTTGTTATTATATTTAAGTATAATTAACATGGATGGTAATTAAATTTACATACAATTATAATGTATTAATGTGATTTCTAATCCGAGAGAAAAATGATTAAATTAATAAAAAGGATTTTTTTTAAATGGTTACATATCAGGTAATTTTCCCAATAAATCACCGGTGATCGGTATATTTACTGATCTAACACCGGTCAGATTATATTTCCTGATCTAACACCCGTAGCAGTAAAGTGCGCCCCCTAAACCGCATTATACGCTGATTTGGCGCCACGTGGGTATAGCGCGCCCCCTGATCCGCGCTATACCTGGGTATCTGACACGTGGGGTGTAGCGCAGTGCAGCGGGGGCTATACCCCTAAATACCCAACCCTTCACGTCCCATCCTCCTTAAATACCCCATCCTCAATCATTTTATCACATCAAATTCTCTCAAATTCTCTAAATTTCTCTCAAATACTCTATCTTTTTAAGGTATATTTTAATATTTTTACTATTATTTTTACTTTATTTAATATTTTACTAATATAATTCTTTTGCAGATATATAATGGAAGCATCTACTTCGCTCGGATGGAAATCATATATCTCTACACTTTGCTAATACCGTAACATTTTAACGTTTTAATTTAATTTAAATTATTAGTAATATTTAGTTGATTTATTTAATGCATGATTATTAGATTAAGAATTAAATATCTCGACACTTTGCTGATAAGGTAATATTTTTAACGTTTTAATTTAATTTAAATTATTAGTAGTAATTAGTTGATTTATTTAATGCATGATTATTAGATTAAGAATTAATTTTGTAATTATTTATTTTAGAGAAGGATCCGTGTATTAGATCTTTTATTAGGAATCTTAAGTTAGTGATACCCATCGTGTCTTTGTATTTAGTAGAGGCTGGATTCGGTTACATAGGTAGATATCAGGGTCACTGTAAGATAGAACCAGACCTGATTTCTGCCTTAGTAGAGTGGTGGAGGCCGGAGACCCACACATTCCATCTTCCGAGCGGAGAGTGCACGATCACGCTTGAGGATATTTCTATGCACTGGGGCTTCCGGTGGATGGAGATGTGATATCGGGATAGCTTCCGGTTCTTGGACTACTTTGTGTCGGGATAGTCTAGGACGTATCCTAGAAAATTTTATCGGAGGTAGATGCCAATTTTCGGGAGTTGAGCGCAGATGGCTCTGAGGATGAGGTTAAGATGTATGCACGGGTATGCATACTGCAGCTGATAGGAGGGTTGCTGATGCTGGACAAATCGCGTAACCTAGTTCACTGTATGTGGTTGCGACATCTTAGCGACTTTCATCTCACCGGATCATTCAGTTGGGGCTCGGCAGTTTTGGCTTTGCTGTACAAGGAGATGTGTGGAGCCACTGACTACAGACGTAATGCTATCGGCGGATATCTCCTGCTGCTGCAGTCTTGGGCATGGTATCGATTGCCCTTTTTATGTCCCGTTGTGAAGAACCCATTCGTATTTCCACTACTTCTGAGGTAATTATAAAACTGATTTTGTATATTAATAAATTTATACAGCGTATAACAAATTTTTTTTCTTGAATAGGTGGTCTACTGATAGGAAAAATCATCAGGAGCTACCTGATGATTTAGAAAAAACTAGGGTGCTAATCGATCAGAAGGTTGGCACACAGATATGAATTTTAATGTTTACAAATCGATTTTAGATTATAGTTATATAATTAGATTATTATTTTGATAAAAATTATATATTATTTGTTTTAGTTTGAATGGGTGCCATATTCTACTGATGATGTGAGGGCGGTGATCCCACCTGAGTTGAGGGGTCCATCAGATGTTTGGATAGCGATGGTCCCTATGATCTATTATGCGTCCGTCGAGTGGCACTCTACTGATCGCGTGCTCCGACAGTTTGGTTGTTTTCAACCAATTCCGGAAGCACCTCGTAATATGGACGAGTTGCATAGCTTAGATAGACGCGGCAAGACAGATACAGATTGGCTGGTGAGGCATCATAGGTGGGTCGTGTTATGGGAGGATCGACATCGACGCCTTCCCCGTAGATAGCCCATTTTTGATGACCTCTTGATGTATGCTGAGGATTATTATGAGTGGTTCAACAGTAACGGGAAATCGTTTCTACTTCCCGAGGATGCACGAGGGAAGACCTTTCCACGACGTCGACAGAGACGTTCACCGACACAGCACCATCGTCCCCCGACTCGTGGATGGAGAGCAGGTGCTTCCGGTTCATCCTCAACTGCACCATCAAGACCTTCCCAGCAGCCACCGCATCCATATATGATGCCACATCCATATATGATGCCGCAGCCATATATGATGTCGCCATCGCCTTTCCATTACCAGATGTCACCGCCGCCTTCACCTAGTTTTATAACCCCACCACCGTCACAGATGACTCCTCCTGGAGGCTATTATGGGTCTATGTTTGTAGATCTGACTTGGGGTTCATATGCTGGATATTTGGCGGGTTTAGCCTCATCACTCATGGCCGCAGCACAGTCACCTCCTGTACAATTTTCACACTCAGCGAAGTCTGGGTTTTCCCAGTTTTCGCAGGCCGGTGGGATAGTCAATCATACACCTCCAGGGTCCTTACTCTATGGAGGTGCTTCATCGTCATCAGCTCCTCATCAACTTAATGTACCTGCTCAGGATGATTTACGACGACGATGATGACGATGACGATAGTGACGACGACGACGACGATGATGACAGCGAGGAGTCAGAACCAGTGATACGAAGAAATCCTCCTCGAGACCGACAGCCACCGCCTTGCGGAACACATTCGCGACGCAGACATCGATAGATTTTTTTATTATATTTGTATTTACTTTATTTTGTTTAATTTTAATTTTTTATTATTTCTCATTTAATACTTACTTTATTTTGTTAAATTTGTTGGATTTTTTTAATATATTTCCGTTAATTTTGTTTATTACCATTTAATATCAGTTGTTGTAATTTGGTTATCATTTACCATTTAATTCTTATTGTAAGTTTGTTGTATTTAAATACCAAATTGTTATTAGTTTGATAAAATTTAATGATTGTGTTCGTTTTTTTAATCTTCATCAGCGATTATCGAATGACATTAACTTGAAGTAAATGCAAATTAAAATACAAGAATTATTATTTGATAAACAAATACATCATTTCCTCATCAATTGTTACTTGATGACAACAAAGTGGACATGTTTTTCTAGGTGTCATGGGTTTCTACAATGGCCACATCTTCTGTCTTGTCTAGATCTTTTCGAATATCCATGTCGCAATGAATTCAATTGGATTTTAGACGACCACACTCCCTCAATAAACTCAGATTTGGTACAATCGGAAGTCAATCTTGAACCTCATCAGGGTCTTTGTCATTACCTATGGGGGGAAACTCAAATTCGTATACCTTAAAAACTTCAGATAGTAGGTATACGGGATCCACAAAATGGTTATAGTCCTGACGTGTATGCGAGCAAGCTACTATCACATGAGAGCATGGATACTTCAGAGCTTGAAAAAACCTGCAGTCGCACGTTTTGTCCCTTAGATTAACTCTTAACGACATAGCTTCAATCCCTTGAAGAGGTCGGGCAACTCTGTGACACGAAACATTTCATGCCTTCTAGAGAAGCTTGTTACAGACATTCCATTTGATGCAGCAATTTTTTTCTGTACATCTGCAACTAATCTAGGGTGATAGACATGACCGCCTTGCATCCAGGTTTGAGCTTGTCCCCCGAGCTTCGCAAAAAGCGCCCCCAAACGAAAATATATAGTTTTTACCAAAGCCACTACAGGTAAGTGACGTGCACCCTTTAAGGTTGAATGATTGCCTCAGCCAAGTTGGTCGTATGTGTCCATATCGATATCCACCATCATATGTTCGTCCACATTTCTTTATCGATGAGGCTGATGTAATCGTATCCTTCCTCGTTCTTCGCCCACAAATCTTGAAGCATTAATTCAAACGTTCGAGGAAGTAGTTCGTAACCTGATCAAAAAATGTATAACTTACTAACTTGCTTTCTTTGCAAAATTAAAATGATAAAAAATGTATACCTTACTAACTTGCTTTCTTTGCAAAATTAAAATGATAAAAAAATGTATACCTTACTAACTTGCTTTCACTTACCCATGCGCACAATTAATTGACGCTCATCATTCTTCTTGTACCTTCCATGATAGTTCGCACAATGTGTCGGAGACAATACCTATG